TATACATGAATCTAGAAGCAAATCTTTTTAGGAAAAACAAAATGCTTTAAATAGTACTGTTCTGAACAGAATTGGCCCTAATAAAATATGTGAGGTAGATAAAGATTATCCTCTTTCTACTTTATATTATAAAGTGTACTACTTGAGACCCAAAGTTTCTGACTTTAGAACCCAGCTCTCAATTTCTATTGGCTACCTTCTAGACACATACCAAAAAAAAAAACAAAAACAAATAATGGTACAAGATTTTGTTCTTCCTGGTGATAATTCAATTTAACTAAGAAAACATAAAAGACTAGAAAGTATTTAGGGCCCAAAATAATGGTGTAATTCTGTTTCTCATGGAGACATTTTAGTTACACATTTATCCTGGCCCTCCAAAAAGCACAGAAATCTAGAGTTGGAATTTGAAGAGAAAATGGGATTTTTGTCTGGAGAAGGGAGGGAAAAGTTTTCGAGAACTATAGAAAGCATATAAAAGAACACAAAGGTGTGAAGTGGCCTGTGCTAACTGGGGAATGCAGAATAGAGACTGAGATGTGGGGGAACCTGGGGAGAAAGGAAGGAGATGAGGCAGGAGTGTGAAGTCTCTATCCAAGTACAGAGCCTAGGACGCCATACTAACATAGAAAATGAGGAGCCGACAACCACTGTGTGAACAAGAAAGGAAAAAGGAATAGCAACAAAAACCCCTCTGTCTACCTACTGTCGGAACAATACTAGGCGGTGATTCAATAGCATGTCATAAACTCCCCAGAACAATAAGATTGGAACTGTTGTCCCAGTTACACAGGTGAAGACTTTGAGGCTCAGAGACGTTCAGTTTAGCAAGCGTAGTAAAATCCCTTATCTCAAGCTACCAGCAATCTCAGGGTACATTATTAGTTCATGGTTGTATAATGTATCTAGGAAATAGTAAGGTTGACTATCTATGAAGGAAATACTATTATAATCACCATTTTACAGATGGGTAAATGGAGATTCAGAGACATTAAGTAACCTGCCTGAGGTTACACAACTAAGAAATGGCAGAGCAAGGATTCAAATTCGACAATCTGGTCCTAGAAAGTCTAACTATTTTACACTCTGCTTCCTGATTCAGGGTTCATTCCTACTTTTTCCCCTTTGATAGGAAAGTGTATGTGTATGTGTTGGGGAGGAAACAAAAGAATTGACTGGTTGTATTTTCTCTCTTTAATATTTGACCTTCCATTGTCTGCTCCAAGCAGTGGCTCTTCCTCTATTATGTTCTTCAGAAAGTAGCTAAAATCAGCTAAATAGTAAGAGTCTATGCATATTTTGTGTTCAAAACTTCAAGAAAACATTCTTGCAGGTAGTTGTTAACTTTTAGAACTCCTTGTGAGTAGAAGACCTCTAAGTTTACTAAAAAGCCTACTGTGCATAGACTCTTTTCTTAAGTTTCATTCATTTATTCAGAAGGCCATCAATTGAGCACCTACTATATTTCAGGACCTATGCAAGATGCAAGGGATAGAGCAATGAGCAAGATATGATTTCCCCTCCCTTTACCACCAGTGTAGAGATATTCTTTAGATGGTAAATGCTGGAGAACAGGAGACCAGAAATGAATGGCCTAATAGGTCTATAGATGAGATCATCTGCCCATGACTGGTACCCAGATGGCTGCATAGCTCAACTTCTCCACCCTCCTATGAATATGCTTCAGCTAATTTTTCTTTCTTCCTGTTTTATATTTGGAGATACTTCTTCCTTTTTCCTCAATAGAGAATTTTGTGATATTATCATCCCAATGTCATATTTGTACTTTTTTGTCATCTTAAACTATTCTCCATTTTTGAGTCTCAGGCCTTGGCCTTTGTTTTCAATAGATTCCCTCCCTCCCTCCCTCCTTTCCTTCCTTCCTTCCTTCCTTCTTTCCTCAAATGTGCTTTCCAGAAAACAGTGGTCTGCTTGTTGAAGTCTGATAATTGTCTACATTTTCATCCTTCACTATAATGAAATTTAGGATGACATGACCATTTCTACTTAATTAAGTACTTCTTTGTTGGTCAGAAGTAAGTCTAGAGGAAAAAAAATTCTGTTTCTTCTTTCATTAGAGGGTCAAATTTTTAATAAGTCAAATCTAAAAACAAAAAGCAGTATCTGACACTTTTCATAACTTTGAAATCCTCCCAAACTGCCATACATTGCCTCAGTATCCACTGTGTATCTATTTTAAGAAGAATATTTCCACATTTTCCAGTCAACCTCGTGTTCTGAAGTTAGCTCCCACAGTGATATTTTCATTTAGCTCTTTTTTTGATCCTCACCCATGCATCCTATCTGGGGATTCAGCTCCTCTCCTAGAATCCATATTAAGATTTCTAGATCATATTTGCTTCCATGCTTCTTTCTGCTGGGCTGTGGATCACAAGGTGCTATCCCTGCTTTACATTATGTTTCATTGTTTCTTGAAAGAGCCTGAGAGTAGTGAGAGCTCTCTTTGAGGGGAAAAAAAAATCTTCTTTATCTCCTCAGTATTACTATTTTTCAATCACTACTTTTTGGCATTAGTTTTCGATTCTATCTGACACCTCAAGCACTTTTTTTCTTTCTGCTTTGTTCAAGATTAGTTCCATCCGTAGGAAACTCTTAGTGTCCCTGAGAAGCTTGAGAGATGAGAAACATTCCTTCATCCCACTCATTTTCTTCTCTAATGAGAAGACAACCTTAAAAGTACAAACAGTAATACAGCCGTGAAAATTAATGAATGACCACCTAAGAAGGAAAATCCAAGGAGGCACATTTTTTCCATGTTTGTAGAAATGTTTCCTTGTCCATGCCTCCAAGGTCTCCAAGTGAGATGTCTTTTGCAGCTTTCCCTGAAACCTTTCCTTCTGAGTTACATAGTCCAATATTTCTTTGCCACCAGTCTCCTGGTTATATTATATTCCTGAGGCCATTATTTATAAACTTGATTTGGTATTCCTTCCCCTCACCACTCACCTCCGATAACCCAGCTGTGTGTTGGTATTTAGCATCATATCTTATCAGCAAATATGGCCCTTTTCAATCAACATAGGGTCACACACAGACCTTTGACTAAACTTTTTTTCCATCAAGTGTTTCTCATTTCCAGGCCTTATCTTCAACTTGTCACCATTTGTTCATCACTGTGTTCCTTTTATTAGCCAGGTGTTTATAAAAACAGTAATACCTAACATTATTGATTACCTACTAGTGTCATGCACTGTGCTAATATTGTTATGATAATGATAATGACGCTGCATTTTCTGGCATTGTTGTATGTACACTCCTTGTATTAGTCATTGAATCCACACAACTGACTCTATGACATTTCCACTATTATTATTACTCTTTTGCTGAGAAGAAAAACTGAAGTTTAGAGATGTTAAGTAACTTAACCGAGGTCTCAGAGTTCCTAAGGTGGAGAGCAGGATTCTCTTCCAAGCACTTTTATTCCAGAACTTTGGATCTTAACTATTACCATGTGTTATACTATGGTGTTCAACAATATTAATATTAATTTAAGATTTATTTAAAGACTTGAAACAGTGTTACATGTCGAATAGGAAAACATTATTAGCTCTCATTTTCGAAAAATATTGTACCTTTTTTTTTCACTGCTAGCCACTTTATTATCAATCTGAAAGAAAAAGAAAAAAATATAATAAACTACTCCCAGTACAAAATACAGAGCTAAGACAAGAATATTTCATCGACTTTGATTTCCTTAGGGTCCACCTCCAAAGTAATTTACTTCCTATTCAAGGAAATCGTAAGGCAGAAATAAGATCATATCAAATCTTTAGTTTTGTCTCTTTTTTCCTTGAATGAAAAAAATAAGTAAAATTTATTCACTTGGCAAATTCTGAATACTTTTGTTTTCTTTAGAAATTCCACAATTTATATAATTGTTATTGAGAAGGATTTTTTAAATTAAATTATTTGACCAGGCATAAGAACCAGCAAAATCATTTTGAAAAATGATTTAAATGTGTATTAATGAAAAGTTTTAGTCTTAAATTACTAAATGAAGTGTCCATATTGTTAGAAAAAGACATATAATGTCATAAGTAAGAGTTTGGCTCAAATTGTTACCCTTCAATTATAGTTGATTTATTGGTATTGAAAGTGGCTATTTAATTTGTATTTCTAACTTTTCTCTTTTTTCTTTTTTCCTTTTGCAAAAAAAATCAAAATATTTTAGCTCCTAGTCAGACTGTTACTCTGGTGACACAACCTGTGGTTACCAAGGAAACTGCCATCTCCAAACTAGAAATGCCATCTTCCTTGCTGTTGGAGGTACCGGCTCTGGCAGATTTCAACCGGGCTTGGATAGACCTTACCGACTGGCTTTCTCTGCTTGATGGAGTCATAAAATCACAGAGGGTGATGGTGGGTGACCTTGAAGATATCAACGAGATGATCATCAAGCAGAAGGTATGGGGAAAAAGAGATAAAAGCTGGTAGAGGCTTTTCTTTAAAGTGAAGATTTTCCACAAGTCACTATACTCTCAGACCACTTTCCACCAGCTTTTCTCTGTCAGCAAACACACTACTACTCTCTCTACTCTATTCAGCCTAAGTATGAGCAAGGATATGAATTAATGCAATTACCTAAAGTAGTCATAAATTTAAAAGGAAAAATAAAAAGAAAATAAACACAAACCTTACAAGTATAGTTGGCTTAAATTCACTAAAAAACTGGTATTTAAAAAATCTACTTTATACCAAACAAGTAGCTCAATTGAGCTATTTACATTTAAACTGTTTGTTTTGGCACTATGCAGCCATAACACATTGCAGAATCAAATATAATAATCTGCGAATTGGTGATTATCTACTCTTCTGAGTTGTCTGTGCCAATTTTCCTCCTCCAATGATAAGGATAATTGAAAGTTAGCTATAAATAAAAAAGAGAAAAATAACAAACATATTCAAAAATACCCTAGATATTAATACTGGCATTCATGCAAGGCCATATTCAAATAAACATCTTTTAATACAAATATTGCATTTCCCAACCTCATTGGAATCCATTTGCTCAAAGTATGACATCAACTAGAAATAAGAATACATTAATATAAATGTGTTTTATCTAGCTAGAACAAATATACTATGTATCTTTTATATTTCTGAATGGATAAGAAAAATAATTTTGAAAATTTTATACAGTATAGTTGTTTCACTTTCAAGCTATTCTGAAAGAGTTAGAAAATTGTCCTGAAGGTATTGAGGTGTTACAGAACTACCTTTTGAAAAAACAAGAAGAGAGGCAGACAGATTAAGTGAAATTTCTTTTTAAAATGAACTTCAGCAATTCAATAGGAATAAATATAATTTGATAGTAAATAACCTGCATTAATGTACTTTGAGCTTGAACTCAGAAGATCTGAATTCAGTGGCTTTTCTTTGTCATTTGCAAATGACTTGATTATGGTCAAGTCATTCTCTGGATCTTGGTTTCTTATTTTGGATACAGAGCATACAGAATACACATTCACATTTTCCATATAGTGATGGATATGTATGTATATAAAGACGGGTAAATATATATGTGTGTGTGTGTGTGTGCGTATCTACTGCTTTATAACAAGTATTTGTGGCCAAAAGCAACTGAGGCTCACAGATGTCACACTCCCAGTAGTAACAGAACAAAGATTCAAATCCAAGTCTGTTTGATTCCTAAGCCTATGTTCTTCCTTACTACATGTACTACTGCCTGCAAGCAATAACTGTAATCGTAGTTACCATTTAGTGATGTATATGTATTTGTATATAAAGTCTATGTCAGACACTATGCTGAGCATTTTACAATTGCAGTGTACTGATACATAGAGAAACAAGGGTAAATTTCTTCACAATATCATATTGAATTATACCAACCAATACTTCCAGGATAATTATTTACCAGAGGAAGCAATATGTTATGATGTTGAAAGCATGGGCTTTGGAGTTAGATTTTCTGGGTTAAAGCTTGGCTCAATTACCACAGCTGTGTGACCTTGGGTAAGTTATTCAACCTACCTGAGCCTATCTATAAAATGTGGATAGTTATACTATCTGCCTTGCAGGTTGTTATGAGGATTAAATTGAGTAATACATGAAAAATGCTTCCCACCTTGCCAT